AAAAAAAAAATTGGAAAAATTGTTTAGTTCAATATCAAAGATGTCTAGAGGTTAAAATTTTTAGTGAACCGTAACACAACTTAATGTATTTCCTCAGTATTCTTGTCACACCTTCTCAAACGATTGAGATAAGTCAATGGGTTTAATTACTCCACAGTTTTTGTGTTTCACACGAAAGCCAAACAGACGATTTGGTATTAAATCACAATGGTTGAAGAGATGTTTTACTTTAGATTGCAATCACCCTCATTGCGTAAGTCGTAAATTAGGATAAATTGTACGACTCGACATCATCGGCATTGTCGACTGTCGTGCTAAAATAAGTACGGCTACTCTGCTAAGTACGTATTTATTGGGCAATTCTTATTTACAGGTCTTCCTACACCGGACAACCTCTTTAGTTTGCGGTGTGATTACCACCACGATTCGCTGCATTTTTTGGGTAACATTTTCTCTTATTTTGTTAATTTAAAAGGTATTTTGTTCTTACTATACATTTTCGAATTTAAAATGCTGTGTCTTTGCAACTGGAACGACGAATGCCTTTGATAAGGAGACGACGATTTTAAATTGTATTATGTAAATAAATAGCATTGTACATTTTCAAAATTTCACAGAAAAATGCCGAGTATAATTTAGGGAAGCGTGCTTCGAATTCTGTAAAATTCGACGGAAAGGGGTTTATGGTACAGTCACCAAAATTAAAGTTCCAATTCAACCGTTTTTTTTATAAGTTTTTAAAGTTACATATATTTTAGATAATTACTTTACTAAAATGGTTTGCCTCTTTTTTTTTTTAGATACATCAATTAAACATTTGCACAAAATACTATAATAACAATCGCAACAAAAGAAAGAAATAAACAAGAAGAGGAATAAAAAAGATAACAAGAAAAGTTCAGCAGACCTTATCTACATAGGAAGCGTGCAAGAGCGGGGAAATACATTGGAAACTCTGTTGTTTTGGACATGTCATGTCAGCAAGTATCACGACTTCACACTACAGCAGAAACATCAGTCTCATATGAGGATCAGGATCCGTATGTGTTCACAGAAACCGTGCCAACAACGCCACCCATTTTATTTAACGCGCAGGTGCTTATTGCTCCAATTTGTTCTCTTTCTATAATCACATTTTATCGGTTATTGAATATGTTTTCGATATATGTGTAGAAATCGCGAAGCAGAGTAATAATAACAACAACACCAAGATCAACTGCAACACCAAAACAAGCTGCAACTACAACAGCACCAACCGCAGCAACGCCAACGCAAACGCCGGCGAAACTAACTCTCATCACAGCCGACGCCAACAAACGACCCCAAACACCAGTAGTTGCAGCCAACGCAAAATTAAAATTCAATCAAAAACTGCCATTGGGACCCTTGAATGGCAACAATACAAAAACGCAGGCGACATCCACGTTCGCTGCTGCAACGGTCCATAATGGACCCACAGCAGCAGCAACGGCGAAAGCGGTTTCGCCTTCAACTGTGAAAGCTATAAATTCACAATCTCAGAAGCAACCGCAACAACAGCAAAAGAACGTGTGTATAGTGCGACCACAGCAGCAGAAACAACAGCTGAATACGACGCCGCGTCAGCAACAACATTTTAAAGCGCAGCAGCGGAAGCTAACGTCTTCGCCTCCGCCATTATTGCAACACACACCGTCACTATGGCAGACACCTTTGCTGTTGGACACAGTGTCTGCGGCGGTAAGCCCACCGACATCACCCGCTTCGTTGCCCTCACCGCCAGCGGTAGCCGCTTTAATGCCCACGCCAGAATCGTCTCCAACGGCGACAACCACAGCTATGGTTAGCCCGCTGATTACAGCAACGGCGTCAACATTGCCACCATCTAAATTTCATCACAACACCCTGGCACAGCATTTGCAGAAAGTAGAATGCATCAAAAAGCCAAAGAAATGGACTTCTAGCGTCGATGGTTCAAGTTTCAAGCTAGCAGAACAGTTTCAATCACTGCAAAATATACAGGAATCAAGACCTGCATTGAAGCAACATGAGCCACAGCAGCAGCAGCAGCCGCAGCCGCATTTTCAGTTACAAAGACGGGAGGTGGGCACCAAAACTGTCGTAGTGCCACCGACTCCAGCACCACAAAACGCTTACACGAACCACCATACCCAAGCACAGTCGCACCCCAACAAGCCAATCATAGCCACATCCTCTGCACCGCCCCCATTGCAGGCAATTCAGGCGGTTTCCCCACCACAACATTCCGATTCCGATTTGAATGAGATTCCAGTAAATGTTATATTTCGCAAGCCTCAAACGAGTGAAATTTTACATTCAAAGCTCGGTAGCAGCATAAGTGTGACTGCATTGAGCAATGTTACAGGTCGCAGCATCAGCGATAGTAGCAGCACAATATTAAATAGTAAGAGTCCTGCAGTCGAAGTCGTCAAGAGGAGCTCATCTAATGTTAAACCTAAAAATGCAAAAAATGTTTCATCAAATGTGCTGCCGAAATCCATACCTATACCTGCTGGCACTGTGGTTACCGAAACTGGATTATTGGCGTCGCCTAGCTTACAGCCTGCCCCACATGTGCTTCGAGACATTGTCTTTACGCACATCGGCATTACGCCGAGCAAAGATAATTCGACACTACCTGCCCAAACGAACAATACACCTCATTACCATCCACTTGCAGCTATGCCTCAACAGCAGCAAAATATGTCTTCCATGGCAAAGCCGCCGCCACCACCACCACCACAACCGCTTAAATATGATTCTCCAGCTCCTCCTCTATTTGTTCACAAACCAACAGCAGGTGTTAACAAAATGCGTGCAGAGGAGAAGTGCCCGCAAAAGATAACAGACACATTCAAGGGGATGGCTGCGGTCAAAGTCACTACGGCTGCTGCGAAAAACGCACCAAAACGCAAGGCGTCTGGCACGCCAACGGTCGTGATGAGAAGCAACAATGCCGTTCCACCATTTATAAAGAGGCGCGGTCGAAAAATGGGACCATTACATTCACCATATGATAATCAGTGGTTGGCAAGTGGCGCTGCTTTGATTGAAAGCGGCAGCATTGGGCAAAGCAAACGTTATTGTAAAGCTGTGGCTGTGGTAAAAATGTCTACTGCTGAAATTGAAGCCGATACTACTTTGTTGGCATCAGCTACAGTACTACCGTATTGCATACAAAAAAATTGGCTTCATATTACCCGCGAAATACAGTTAGTTGGGGGCGTTGGTGATGTTGCAACTGCAACTGGAAAAAGTGTTCACAATTTGGATACACTTTTAACAGCAACAAGCGAGCGTGAGGCGCGCATTATGCAGAGAAAGATGCTTTTGCAACGTCAAGCGTTACAATTGCTCTCCACATATTCGTTACAAAAGTTGCCGATGCAGGCAGCTAGACGTCGACTGATGTGCGTAGATCGTTTGCTTCGAAAATACGAGCATCATGGCGTTGATGAGTATGTTTGTTATATTTTATATTGTTGTTTTTTCTTTTTATATATTTATTATGAACTTTATACATACGTAAATCTATTACAAAAGTACGGACCATATATTAAAAAAAACATTGAATATGGCAGAGGAATGCGGGACAATAAATCACTTTATTTCAAGGTTTCAAAAAAATTTTGTAAATCCCAAAAACTTCTTCGTTAAAAATATGAGGGAACGTGCCTATACTACGTGACCCACTTTTTGCAATTTTGAACCCCCCATTATGTCATTCTTATGTCATAATATATCGTAACCAGAACTTAATTTATAGAAACAAAAGTATTGCGAGTTTAAAACGCGCCAAACCCTCCGCGATTGATTTCCTTAGGGGATATTGAGTACGTGCTAAAAACCTTAGCCCCCGGCCCTCATTGTGACCAAGCGCGGTATTTTGAAGATCCCCCTTCCCCGCTGACCGGGTCACATAGTATGGGTAGGTTCCCTTGTGTATTAATATTGAAAAGTGTTCCTTATATAACAAATTTTTCGATCTTGGATATCTATTCCTTATCACTGGTCTCCACTCAGTTTTAAAAAATCCAAAATTTGAGTTTCCAAAATCCTGTAATTTACCTTCATAGATTAAAAGAACTGTCCCACCTCGTGCGAATTCTCCTCCTGTACTCTTATGAATTATGAAAAATTATTTGTTTTATTGTTTTGATATGAAGTAAATATTCTTTATATATTACAATTATGTATGGTTATTGTCATCTAACAGCATAATTGCCCCAAAGAAATGTAATTATGTCGGCTGTAGCAAGGGTGTCCTGGAGATGGCAACGCTATGCGAGGACCATATTGTAGATAATGTATCTCAGCATATTTTCTTGCCGTGTACGGCGAAATTTGCTGACAACACCCAATGCCGCATACCTGTCTTTGACATAATGCACGACCTGCCCCTTTGTCAGGAGCATGCACGGAAACGTGATGCTTACAATCGCTCAGGGTACGCTCAGCAGCGTCCAGGGAACTGTAAATTTGGGGCAAGAACGACAAGAACATTATCGCAAAATTCTTTGGATTGCGATGCAGGCGATTTGCTATTGCAACTGAAACAAATTCAATATCAACACAAACAACAGCATCATCATCAGCACCAGCAACAACAGATGCATATGGAACCGAACCTCCGTAATGCTGTTACAATTGGTAAGACTAAAAAAACTAACAATGTAAAAATTACGGCTGTTCGCAAACGTAAGGCCCCTAATGTAGCAACAGCCAACACGGGCGACCGACCACAAAAGCGACCACGAAAAATGGATATGAATGGAACCCCGACCCCTGCACCAATAGGTGCAACATTAGCGCCGCTTCAATTGACATCGGCAGTGCTGCAACGCAAGAGCAGCACCACTTCACTCGAATCAATTGCAAGTAATTCGCAGTCCTCTAATTCACAATTGCATTACATTTCGTCGAATGTGAATGTTCCAGCTCAGGGTAAGATTGCGATGCCTGCACTGGCACCTCTCAGTGGACGCAATGCCCCTGTTCTCAGTAGCACTATCTCATCGGTACCGGCACCGAAACGTCAGCTTAACTTTAGCACTGTCAGTAGAAGCGATAACAGCGCAATGCTATCAGGCAACGATGTGATGACACAAGATTTGAAGCCACATGAAATTAATCAGTTGGTGGCACAGTTCTCTGTAGCAGTGAAAAATAATAACAGCAACGCCAACAACAACAACAACAATGAAAATAGCAACAGTCTCAACGCATATAGCAACAATAGCATTAGTAACTGCTTTAATTACATCAGCTCGAATTGTGACTCTAATTTCACATCGGCGCTAGGCTCGTCATCATCATTGCCGTCTTCAACAGAGGAATTGTTCCGCCAAGAGTTGCTAAGTGTCTGCGAAAATAGTTCGGTCTATGCTAGTTCCGAAGATACTGGTCTGGGTGGATTGAGTGAAACTGAGCTGATGGTTGGCCCCACTGATACAGGTAAGCTGTGAAATGAAGACGAGCATTTTTTTTTCGAAATTAATGTTCCTTTTTGCAGATGACATCCCGCTGGGTGACACACGTCTGCTAGAGGAGCATGATTTAGCGAATGTGCTCAGCGCGTTGCCAGAGGATGCGTTCAATGAATTATTCACAGCAGGTAAATATATACATATGTACATTTCATTTTTCATTTCATTGCATAGAGAAATACTTCTGCCCATGAATGATAGAATACTCTCGTCTCTCTACATCGTGCTTCTGCCAGAGTTTGTTTGATTCTTTCACAATAAGGAAGTAAAAAATGAACTAATAATATATAAAAAATAAAATTCGATAATTTGTTGGAGAGTTCCAGCTTACCACTTCTTAGGCTATCGGATTAGCGTATTATTGTATTGTGTATAAAAATGTATTAAGAAAAAAAACAAGTCTCAATGCAAAACTAAACATACATAGATACATACATTAAAAAAAAACAAAAGAGATTTCGAACATGTCTTCAATAGTTTAATATATCAAAAACGAAAAAATGCATGCAATTTTAAAATTATCGCATTTTTGTGTGAAGAATGGCATGGTACAATATACATATCTGCGGACATTTGACTGAACAACTTAAGTCTTATCTCTCATGAACAAACAAAATAGCATATTTCGCTCTTTTTCCCATCACAACAATACATTTTATTTAAATGAAACCATGCAGTTGTTGCGAACAGAAACATTTTTAAAAGTTGTGAATATCGAAAATATAATGTTATATTTCTTTCAATTGCAATATTCTTCTCTTTGACGGCAAAATATGTTTTGTCGACATGTGCTATTTTGTTTGTCCGTCAAAGACAGACTTAAGTTGTTCTGTCATAATTTCATAATTTCATTTATGTATTTTCGCTTTCATTTATTTGAAAATTTTGATTTGTATACTGAATAGCCTTAGTTTTAAAAATATATATCGCACACCTAGATCTAAAGTGCGATCAACTAAAAAAAAATTCTGGTGATTTTTTGCATGAATAACTTCATAGGACTTACATACAATTAATGCGGATAATTTTTTCTTCATGATTATATACATACATTAGCGAAAAAACTACTGTTATACCTGTTTTTGTATTAACTGCGTTGAATCTGTACGATCCACAAGCAATTATATATCCCTCTCTGAATTTTGAGTTAGCTCACCTTAGATCTAGGTGTGCGATATACGTATCTTTAATTAAAATACCACAATATCGCAACAAAAATTCATTAACGGCAAAAAATAACGTTTTCAACGAAACACCCGCCACGAACATCTACAACGTCATTATTTTTTTTGTTCAAAGTATTCTTGTAGATTTTGTTCTGCATACATGCAAATTTGCAAAGATCTGTTGACTTTGATGATCATCTCAAAATCGCTTCCACGTTGAGTAACGTCCCAATACAAATCTCGAGGGCGAAAACACCACCATTAATTTATATTGAAATTTCCGCACTTTCGTTCTTATAAGTACCGCTTTAAACCTCCCCCCTTGTATATAAATTTTTTAACAATTTTTTTTTTGCCGATAAAAATATTAATTATGTTTTTGTTATTTATGGCCTTATAACTCTTATATTCAACAATTTTATTGAGCTTGGGGTCTTTTTTAAAGAGAAATTGTGTGGAAAACAACAATAATTTACACAAATGTACAAGTTATAGCTGTTATTTCGGAGATCACCACATCTCCCATCAGACTTCTTCCCCGCGGTCACTGGGATATGAACCCACTGACCTCGGATTACCCTGCCCACTGAGCTAAGTTCGCCACGTAAACTGTTGTGCTTTTCCCACTTCTTTTTCTTATGTCAACCCAACTACAATCAAGAGCAGCTATTCCGCTGCTATTTGTACAATGATCATGTGGTTATTGTTTGTTGTTGGTTTCGTTAATATTCTATTTTAAGAATGTTTAACTTTTAGGTGTGCTCGTCCTTAAGTTATAAATTTTTAATTAAAAACGGCCTTAAGCTCAATAAAATTGTTGAAAATCAAAAATTAAAATAAACGCCCGTACGTAACGTTCGCAACGCTAGGATTGGCGCATATGTAATTCTCTTTTCTAAAATAAGACTTATCAATATATCAAACATCTAATATACAGGTACTGATAGTAATTTGTCCAGCGCAGTTTTCGCTTGAAGTTTTTCATTAATTAACTTAGTATATTGTTTCTAAACTATATTTTTTTCATAGACTTATCCTTGAATTTCTTTTCTAGTGCATCAAGAGGAACGCGAAGAAGTCGAGCGTGCCCTCGAATTGGCTGACAAACATCTTAAAAGTTTACAACAAACAATCGGTTCAGACATTGATTTCTTAGGAGATTTCCCTGACGACGATGAGATCCTGGCCGACACTAATGCTATGTGCAGCAAAATGGACATAGTGTCTTCGGCTATGCGTTCGCCAGACGCCACATCTGGCATTGACACCTCAACACTGTTTCTTGATAGTGGTAGTAATAGTGTAGGCGGAGGCGGTGGTAGCGTAAACTGTAGTAATATTGCGGATATACGTGGTCTGGTGCAAACGTAAGTGCTAGGACCAGTGAATGGAAGTTATTGGTCGCCGCCGAGGAGGATAACTCGCCAACAAGAAAAAAGTAAATATTAATGTGCAAGACGTTAGAAAATGCGCAACAACAGTATCCTTAAATATTTAAAGATCGGGATAACAGTTAAAAAGAAAGAATATAAACTCAAGTAAAAATGAAACAAAAATTAGAAAACTTAAAAAGTGTACAAAAAAAGTAGTAAACTATTTTAAAAAGAGGAAAGGTTTAATTAACATTTTAGCATTTCGAGCTGTTATTTGATTTTTTATTATAATACACATATATATAAATATATATATATATATAGGTATAGTTTTCATTGCTATTTTAGTTGACTTACACGCTGCGAAGAGAAAGAACGCATGAATTGCTAACATGTTTCTTAAGTCTTTAATACTAATTATTTGATTTTTTTTTATAATTTATATTGTATAATTGTTCTAATTAGTACATATATATTATACAATTGCTGGATGTCTGTAAAGAAGAAATACTAAAATAAGTGCACAGTTCACTTTTAAGCGATAATCTATGAATATTAAATCAAAAATAATATGTACTGGTAGATCGTGTTTGAACTTCACAGGTAAGCCGAAGACGCATACATAAAACGAAAGGATATAACGGAATAGAAGCATGATATATACATGAAATGAGGAATGACCATGAATATGAAAAAAATATATATATGCATATACTTATATAAAACAGATAAACGTTTTACTGAATGAAGAATCACAGTAACAAACGTTGACTAATATGATCTAGTTAGCGTAAGATTAAATGTTGTAACTTATGAAATTATGTGAAACATGAAAGAAAAATTTGCAATGTAAAAGTTATCGGACATGAGCAAGTAAAATGAATAAACCCAGGCACTTACACTTTTAAAATGGGAAATAAGGAAAAATGTAGCATTAAAGATTAAAACATTACTTTTGTTTTGGGAAATGAGTAAATGATAGGGGTTTATATTAGTTTATGGAGCTATTTGGTTCAGGTTACACAACAGCCGTCATCGATTCGCCATTTCTCTGCTAGCTATGTTTAAGTTTCCGGTTGTATGTTGGACCAATAACAAAGGTAGCTAGCAAGGATGGGCGATAGCGAGTTTAGTTGTACCTCATTGAGTTCATTAGTTTCGCCACTCGCTAACTGTTGGCTAATCGACAACGGCTAACATTTATGAAAATTTATTTACGGTGAATTCATCTTGATAAAAATTTGCCATCAACACTCAGAGCTCCTATTACTAGCATTGGGCGCTAATTTTTTTCTCTGTTTAAACTATTACTTCAATATTTTCTCATAGGATCACTGCGTGCGCATGTCAACTTATAATCAAGATAATTTAAAGAGTTTATAAATTTTCATAAAAATTGTACGCTATCCTTAAAAATTTTAAAAACCTTGAACATTTATTAATATAGAAAGTTGTAGACGGAGAATTTATAATAAATATTCAATCAACGGGCTTTTAAGTAATTCTACTTCTTCGTTTGTAACTACAATTATTTACAAAGCATTTTTTGCTCCATTGCGCCCAGTTTCATCTTTTAATTTTACTTTTAATTAAAGAAACATAACAATTTCTTGGCATTTACTCGTTTCTTACTAAATCAAAAGATTTTGTCCAGTTTATAAATTTGAGACTAATAATAAAAAAGTGCGTTCAACTTCAAGTGGCACTAAAAATATAAAATTAAAATGAAATAAAACCTTAGAAGAAATGCACACACATTTATTTAAGGCACATCGAAAAACAAAAAGGGGAAGAAAAATACTAGCCAAACCAATTTGCTAATCAACTTGTTTGTTTTTCTTTTGTAATGCCGTGCAAAGTGTGACTATATCACACTCAGAGGCATCGCAAACAAAATGTGTTGGACTGAACAAAAAAAAAAATGTCTGCTGATTAAAACTAAATCGAACTTGTAATAATAACCGACAACCAATTAGACAACCGCGTAATGTATTATTATATAAATCTACTATGAATATTTAACTATAACTTCTATTTTAAGGAAAGGCTTTATACACTTTAAATTTTTATTTTTTTAAATTTTAAATTTTGGTTTTCATTATTTCTTTTAACAGTTAAAAAAAGTATGTATGTAGTTACCTAAATCGGAAATTGGAAATGTGTAGTTTTTTTTAAATTTGTCTTTATATTTGCATTTTAGTGATAACATTTCGAAATGTTATAAGCAAATGTGTCACCGAAATTAATGAAAAACTTGCATGTCCTAGCAGAGCATTACTACCACTGTTGTTATTGGATATGTAACATTAAGAGCTAGCAGCAACCCTGCAGGGAAAGTTATTAGTTGTGAACTAGAATACTACCATAATATTTTCCAGCTCAAATGTGTTGACCTTCTTTTGTCCATGCTAGCGACTAGTATTTTAAACATGGAGATGTCTTATGTCAATTCTCCGGCCATGCCTCAGCACCAGCCTGTAGAGTTGGAGAGACAGTCAGCCTATTAATGACTAGTTAATGAAATAAGTTTGTTATTTGGTTCGAGTCCTCAGGCATCGAAAAACGATATACTTATGTAAAAATATTGTTAATTAATTTCATAACAAAGAAATGCTATTTAATTTTTTTTTTGTATTGTTCAATTAAATTTTTTACTAATTATTTAAATCCATACATTGTAGTTTATGTCAATTATTATGTAAATCGAAAGAATTTTCATCCACCTACATACATACGTTAAAAATCTCGAAACAACCCCAAGCGGACTCGAACCTTGCGATCTCTTTACCAGAGGCGATAGCCTTCAACCAACGGAACGGCCACATTCGTTACAAAAGCATTAATTGCGCTTTTGGTTTGGCTTTGACAATTCAAACACTAACGTCGCTAATCGCATAACAAAATATATTTTGAAAATGTCTTCAACTGGCAGGCTGCTACCTTAGCTCATACTAGTTGAAAAACTAGAAGGCTTCTTACCAGAATGGCTTTTCGCTGCAGGGAAATAATACTAAACAAAAATTTATGTATGTACTTGTGTGTGTATGTCTGTTAATTTCTCAAATTTGTTTAAAGTATATGTACATAGTATGTTGTACATATACATATATGTTGGATCATACTTTTGTTGTATTCGTTTAATGTTTCTATGTCTATACACAAAAAAATTATAACAAAAGTTAAAAAAAATAAAATAAATTTATATAAATACTATCTTAGTCATAACTAAGTTTATAATACTTAGATAACGCTTAGTCTTTAGCCTGTATAGTTTCATTTGCATTTCATATGTCATCATTTATTTTCACCTCATTTGCCAGCTACGTTCGAGTATTATAATATGTACATATGTATGTATGTAAGTGCATTTTAAATAATTTCCATAATTTCTCAGCAATGTACACACACATTTTAAACATATACAGTTAAACGCACACTTCGACTACACGAATCCTTGTACATACATTCATACTCATACACAAGCTCATTGGTAAAGGTATGAATGTGATGCGGTTATCGGTTTGGACGCTTATTGTACGAACAGGGTACATCTAAAAATTAATTATTAATTAGTCTACTTGGGGGAAGCCGCCCTTTTCAACTGCGGAAAAATAGAAGATATGAACTCATCATGGTAGTTTACACAACACAAATTCAGTCGAACATCCTGTACTACCTACTGAAATAATTGGTAAATCTACATACTTTTATATTTTTGATAAAAGTTCAATAAAGTGTGTGTCGAGAGTTCTATATTTAAAATCCTCAATGTGTATTTTTTATGAAAATGAGCTTCTATTTATGAAAAATGTGGATAGGGGGTTTTGAATATAGTAAGCCCTCGATATGAAGTCTCGCATAAAATGCGTTTTTATAGCGCCAAATAGAATTGTACAAAATTTGATTTAAATTCGTGATCTAAAGTCCTTAGAAATTTTAAAATAAACAAATGAAACTGATGAAAAAAAACAGGAGAATATCGAACAAAATTTATTATACCTATACATACATACATACATATGTATGTATGAAGGTATACCCCAATCTTTTTAATTGCATTTTTGTTATACATATAGACCTTTTATTATATGTACATATGTATGTACATATGCATGTACATCTACATACAGTTTATTTTCTATACACAACACATATGATGCATACCGAAATACACATATGTACATAAACATATTTAACAATTATTTTTATTTAATAAAATAATATATGCATAAATATATATAAGTGGAATTATTGCTGCATTAAAACAAAAAAAAAAAAACGACCGGCATACAAATGCATTAGAATTAACGGAAGAGAAAAACAAATAGCGTCGAAAGTAAAATGAACTATTTATGTATGTAGTTAAAAGCGAAAGAAAGTATAGTATATGTATGTACGTTCATTTGTCGTCACTGTAACACTTATGTTAACATACATACAAATGCGAGCATATATTCTTTACTTACACATTTTCAGTAACTGTCTTTCGCAATTTCTGCATTTGTGATTTATTTTTGTATGATTAAAATCAAATTTTTAACAAAAACTGAATAAGCTAGAGGAAAAAAGAATTTTTTAGAAAATAAAAATAAAGATAAACAAAAACCAAAACAAAACAAAATAACGTCTCTTTCAAATTATTACTTGACTTTAGCAAGGCGACAAAAAACTTCACTAACGACATTATAAACATTGGGGTAATGGAAAAACTTGCTGCTTTTCTAAGCGAATCATACAATTTGTTATTTTTATGGCTCCCACCAGAATATTTCGTTTTAAATCAATGTCATTCGTAAGCTGGAACTTGTTCGAATATCACTAAAATCTGTATAATCATATACATAAATTTTATGCCGAATCCATTCTTCAATTTTCATTTCACTGAAAACATCACTTTTCATATTATTAAGAAATAAACGTGGTAATTAACCAACTGGACAAAGCGAATTCATATACAACTGGAATTCAAAAATCCATCCAACTGCATATTGCATTAGAAATTTAATTATTTTGTGCATTTTTGGAAGCATTAATTTTGTACATCTCTTTCAATAATGAATGCTGCTTAGATTTTGCGAGGTGCTTAGATTTTGTTTAATGAATTATTAAAATTTTCAAAGGATAATCGCCATAACCACTAGGAAATAAAAAACTAGGTACTGATTTTTACAATTGCGATATTTGTCACCCGTTGTTATTACTGTTACAAGTTCTAAAATAATTCAAGAAAGTTTAGGGCGAAGCAGTAAAAAGGTGTTCGCACGTCACGGAGGGGTGCGCGTTTTAAAAATCTTTTTGATTAAAAATCAGCTTTTAATTAAGAAATCTATTCGATTTGTGATTTGGTTCATCGACAAAATAAAAATAAATTTTACTAATGATTTGATTTGTGAAAAATTAAAATTTCTTGTGATTTGATTTCTCGACCAAATAAAAAATAAATCTTAGCTGTGAAATGTTGTCGGATTTTTCTAAGTTCGTACTTAGGTTTTATTAGAAGGTTAGCTATACTTTCATAAAAAAAAATAAAAACTATCTAAATTACAGATAAATAGCCAAAACTCTTTAAAATGTTTGCTTGCCACCGATCGTGTTATCAGCCGTCTCGGCTATGTCAAGTGGTCACTTCGGAGCTGCGATTTGACGCCGTTAGACTACAGGTGGGATACCGTTAATAAGCGCATATCGAGCAAGTCTTTCATGAGATAGAGCCAAAAATCGTCACATACTGCCATGAGAAGCAATTCTAGTGCGCCAAAAGTTAATTTAAAAATTGCCTTAAATTTTCCTGGTATTCTCTGAAATTGTTGTTAATACTTGTTTTATTCCGGAGCTCGTTTGTTTTTTTTTCCAGAAATTTTTCTAGCTGCGCCGATTTAAGTTTTAATTTTTTGTGTTAGTGGTCTTGAAAGATAAAGTAATAACACTAGTTGACAAGAAATCATATCCGTGGCGATTTATCATCATTTCTTATGTAAAATATTTTCCTGAATCCGAATATGAAGTCCAAATATAAAAAAGTAGAACCATTTTTGAGATAATGGCTTTTTGAGATCTGGAAGAGTGCAACCCCTCTAAATTACTCTTAACATAAAAAATAATCATCAAAAATGTGTTCAGTGACCCTTAATTACACTGTGCGACAATTTTAT